ACATGATTTTTATTTTATTTGTTCTAATTAGTTATATATGACAGTAGAATACACTGTGATACATCATACTTTAATGGAGTAATTTCTCATTCTTTTGGTTGTACATGATGTAGAAGCCTACCGGTCATGTGGTCATATACGTACACAGGGTAATAATGTCTGAGTTATTCTACTATCCTTCCTATCCCCAATCTACATGCTTTGTAAAAGACTGAGAAATCATATATGAAATTGTAGACTCCCACCATCTGGAACTCATTTTGAATAGTTTGTATGTCAATATGGAGGTTTATCTTTCACACTGGAACACAGCTCTCACCCTTTTCCAGTTGCAGCAAGTAAAATTGATGTCCTCTAATCCCAAATATATTAGTGGTCTACTGAACCAAGTTAACATTTCTAAAGTGAATATAGCTCTCTATTTTAAAGAAAGGAAAATGGTGTCTGGAATACCACTGTCTAGTAGAAATTTCTGTCATGGGAATGTTTTATTTACAGTGTCCAATAGGGTAGCCAGTAGCTTCCTATAGCTATAGAGCCCTTCAAAAGTAGGTAGCATGACTAAATAATTAAGTTTTAAAATTTGATTTAGTTAAATATTCACACACATTGGTTTAGCACAGGTCTTGTAGGCCCTTAGAACATTCTAGGAAGTGTTAGAAGTGAAAGGCCTATCATGGACAATCAAAGAAACTTAAGTTATCGTCATTGTTTTAAAAACCTTGTCATTCCTTCAGTATAAATTTTTCCAGAAGTTTCACATTTCAAAAAATAAGCCCAAACCAACCAAATTCATTAGGCTGCTTCTCTGTATGAATCATCCTTTTGCAAAGAGGTGTAAGACTGATTTTATTGCCAGCTCTGCCCCCTCTTCTACAGACAGAACTCAGTGATTAGATTCTGCATTTATTTAGGTTATTCTCCTAAAAAACCTGGTTTCCATACTGCAAATAAATGACAGGAACTTTTCCACTAGATTATCCCAGACAGCACAAATGTTCTTTCCAAAAGTGGAGATTGGAACCACAGCCCCCTCATGTTGCCTGTTACATCTGTTTATGATTATAGACATGACATATATGTTGTAGACAGAGAATGGCAATATCTTGGGAAAGGACTGAGAATATGGTGATGCTTAAAGAATAGGAAAAAAAATTCTCACTGTTCACAATAAAAGATCCATAGAATTGAGTAGCTAGAAAGTCCTTTTGAAATTGAAAGATTTTGTTCCCAGAGTATATAGATTCTGTGTACAGATTTGCCTGGGTTCAGACCCAGTAATAGTCATTTTTAGCTAAGACAGCCTTGGATAAGTTACAAATCCTAACCCTCAGTTTTCCCATCTGTAAAATGTAATGATCTGTTGGAAAAAACCTGCAAAAGACCTTGAAATGGGGACATCACTGTAGGTACATGTGCTTTCAGATGGATGTCCGCTCCAGGAGTTTGGAGTTTACTGGTTGGAATTTATACCTCTTACTAGGCGATTTCAATACTTAGTCAACCTAAGAAACTCACAGTGATGTAAATGATTCTTATCTATAAAAATGCAAATTTTGACTTAGAGGTAATCATTGGTTACCGCCCTATAGAATAGATAAGGTACCCCTCCCTTATCTGCTGTTTTGATTAACCTGGTTTCAATTATCCTTACCAGCATTCAAACATGATCTGAGAACATTTACTGAAAACTTTTAGAAACAACTTTTAAGTTTTAAGTAACTTTTATTACAGTATATTGTTATAATTGTCTTTTGTAATGCACCTAATTTCTAAATAAAGCATTATCATAGGAATGTATAGGGGAAAAAACCCAGTAGATGTAGTGCTCAGTACTCTGTCAGGTTTCAGGCATCCACTGGGGGTTTGGGAATGTATCCCCAGAAGATAAGGAAGGAGCTATTGCAATACTAAACATTACATTTCAGTGTGCCTCCTCATAGATTAGGCAGTTTTGCCTCTTTCTTGATTGCCTGTAGATATGTGTTCTTCACATTTTCATTTGAATGAGTTGCAGTATTTTGCTGGTTCCCTCCCTAGTTACCGAGTCAAATTAAAATTTTAACCTATGCTCATTTTATATTTCTACAGGAGTCATGTTTTTCACCTTCTTGATATTAAAAGCCTATGGGGCAGAACCTTGAGATTGGTTTAAAGGTTCATATTGGCAGTCTTGATCCATTTTATATTTTGTCGGCAGGTATAATACTTCTGACATTTTGGGAGATGGAGAGGGAAGGACTAGCACTTATAAAAGGGTTCAAGCCAGAGCTGGTAGGCTGAAAGCCTCTTCCCAACCAAGAAAGTCAGAAGCCTTCCTCACCCCTTTCCTTTTAGCAGTGGAACCTTAGGATCAAGATGGGTAGTATACTGGCCAGGCACAGTGGCTCAGATAGAGGTCTTAGATAGAGTGGGGCCCTAGGTCTTGGTCTTCCAGACAAGGACAGTGGCCCAGTTTGGATGCCTTGGGGGTCATGGGGTTAACTGCCCATGAACCAGGGGCCATAGTACCGGTTGCCCAAACCCAGTTCCGGAACCGACACGGGCCAGGCTCCGGAAGAGCAGGCCTTGTCCCAGGCCAGAGAGGCCCCTCGCCCACGGCCGAGGGGGTGGGGCGGCCTCGCCTCGGGCCGGTGCTTTTCGCCCTTCGTTGGCCGCCAGAGGCTCCCTCTCTCTCTCCCTCTCCTGGGATTTTGCTGCTGGGTTCCCTCTTTCTGCGGCCCTAGAGTTAATCCTATCAGCCGAGGTGAGGCACCTGTTACCCCGGGCCTTCCTCGCCCCGGCGGCCTGTCCTCCATGATACCCCGGCCTCCCCCACTGGCCCGAAGGCCGGGTGTGGGTGACCCTGCAAGTGGGCCAAGCCCCTTCCCGGCCGGCGCCCCCGACCCCAGGCCGGCCCGAGTGTGCTAGCGCATCGGTGCCCAGCCGCCACCGCCCGCCCGCCATGGCGTTGGGGAGCGCAGAGCGCCTCCTGGGGCCGCCCGCCGCGGTCAGGGCGCGCGTGGGGGCCGGGGCGAGGGTGGAAGCGGCCGCCTTAGCCCTCCCTGCGGCGCCGTGAGGAGCGGGTGGTGGGCACCCAGCGGGCCGGCGCCGATCTGCCGCAGCCACCGCGGGGCGGGGGGCGCAGTGAGCTGGGTGGGAGCGCGCGGCCGACCCTCCCGCCCGCGGCGCTCCCGCTCGGGTAAGGGGGAGGCTGTGCGCGGGGCGAGGAGCTGGGGAGGGAGGAGATGAGCAGGAAAAATATCGGCATGTACAAAGGCTGAGTTGCAGGCTGGGGGTGGGGGTGGGCTGTGGTTGGGGAGCGAAAGGTTGAAGGATCCGAGGCACTATCAGTGGGATCTATTGTTTCCTGGCACATTGGGAGGAAAAACAAAGGGATTTATTATCATTACCCTATAATTTTCTTTCTTTCTTTTTCTTTCTTTTTTTTTTTTTAAATGTGGCCAGGGAGCTCGTCTCTCCCGTGCCACACTGGGATCCGCCTGGCAGCCGCTGGGAGCCGCAGCCAATGTGTTAGGACTTCAGGTGCTTCTTGGCACAAAGCTAGACTGCGACCTCCTACCATAGCGCTTGGCGTCACCTGCTCTCCCGGCCCTGCCCCGGGGCCGAGGGATTGCGTCCCGAACCAGGCTTGGGAATCGGCTGCCTCTCAAGTTGGTGTTATTTATGTTTGTCTTTTGTGAGGGCAGGTTTTGAATCCCCAGCGGCCCCATCGCCCCCGCCTCCGCCCCCCTCGGGCTCGAATTGGCGGGGGAGGGAATGGGGTGTGTGAGTGGGGAGAGGGGAGGGTGTTTATGGGTAAAAGGAGATTGTCGATGCTTTACAAAAAAAGAAAGGGGGGAAAAAAAACTGGCACCACACTCTTCAGCCTTTCTTGTTTGTCTGCATGGGCCATGCATGCATGCTGGGCCAGGAAACGAGTTCTGAGACGAATTTAAGTGAAAGTGTGTGCTTCCTCAACTGATGGTGCGTGAGGATGATGTGGTTCAGTCTAATATTAAAACAAAACAAAACAAAAACAAAATGAAAAATCTTTCGAATGGTATTGTCTGCTCTTCAGCAGATCTTGAAGTATTTGATTGCTAGCATATTGATATAAAATCCAGCTGTGGGCTAGAGACCAGAAAGCATGCATTGCTGTTGTGTTTTGAGTTTGTAGTAAGTTAGAGGCAAGAAGGAATAAACAAATCAGGGCTGGGAAAAGAGATGTCATGATATATTTGCTTTCTGATTGTCACATTCTCATGCCTTCATTCCCGTGATGTCTACGTCCCACTCCATAATTATATATCCTCTGTTAGAAAACTTCCAAATATTGGCTGTAACTGAACTTAGAGTGAAACTTATTGACATTCAAGAACTTTTTTCTTGTTTTGTTCTGAAATTGCACTTTGGGGATGCTGTAGATGAGAATATTGGAACAGAGAGACTGAAATAAGCCAATGTGGCATGTTTTGAAGTTTGTAAACATAGATTCCAAACTTTTAACTGTACTTAGAGTAAGTTCTACCTGAGTATGGATAATGCCAAATGAAATTAATTTTTCTAGACAGTTTGATGATTTCTTAAACATACTTGAATTGCCTGTTTCTTTTAGGGTCATTTGCAAAAGCATCCAAAATGGGCTAAAATATTGTTTTCCAATGTACTTAAGTGTAATGTGTGTGGGGAGGAGGTGATGGGGGGAGAGAGGGAGGGGAGTTTGATAGGGACCTCCAAATTGTGTTTGATACATTTTTGTTACCAGACCAATAAGAATGATAACTTTTAACTTTTTGACTTTTAACTTTCCATTTCAATAAATAATTTCTTCTGCTTGATATGTGGCTAAACCACTTGGACAATAAAGTGTGTATTAGTTGACTAAACATAAATTTGAGTACATGGATTCAGAAATTCATTCTTTTCTATTACAGATGAACCTCTAGTCTTGCTTTGAAAAAGCCATTTTGTGTAACTATTGACTGAATAATTTCCTAATACATTTGTTGGGACGATCACTGAGAGTATGCCACTTGAGCGGCCCTTTTCTTGACCAAATACTGGTGATTAGAGAAGAGAGTTTTTTTCCCCCCCTTGATCATTATGAACATTGGCTTTTCACCCTTGAAGTAAAAATGTTGAAAGCTGAGTCTTCAGGTGAACGAACCACTCTGAGAAGTGCCTCTCCTCACAGGAATGCATATAGAACTGAGTTCCAGGCACTGAAAAGTACCTTTGACAAACCCAAGTCAGATGGGGAACAAAAAGCAAAGGAAGGGGAGGGCTCCCAGCAGAGCAGGGGGAGGAAATATGGCTCCAATGTCAACAGAATTAAAAACCTGTTTATGCAGATGGGTATGGAACCCAATGAGAATGCTGCAGTCATTGCCAAAACCAGGGGGAAAGGTGGACCTTCATCCCCTCAGAGAAGAATGAAGCCCAAAGAATTTCTGGAGAAAACAGATGGCTCAGTTGTTAAATTGGAGTCCTCTGTATCTGAACGAATTAGTAGATTTGACACAATGTACGATGGCCCTTCATATTCTAAGTTCACAGAGACCCGAAAGATGTTTGAGAGAAGTGGGCATGAGTCAGGGCAAAACAACCGCTATTCCCCAAAGAAAGAAAAAGCTGGGGGGAGTGAACCACAGGATGAGTGGGGTGGTTCCAAGTCCAACAGAGGCAGTACTGATTCCTTGGACAGCCTTAGCTCCCGGACCGAGGCTGTCTCCCCAACGGTGAGTCAACTGAGTGCAGTATTTGAGAACACCGAGTCCCCCAGTGCCATCATTTCTGAGAAGGCTGCAAACAATGAATACTCAGTGACTGGGCATTATCCTCTGAATTTACCATCTGTTACTGTTACAAATCTTGACACCTTTGGCCACCTTAAGGATTCTAATTCTTGGTCTCCATCGAACAAACAAGGGGTTGATACAGAGGATGCTCAGAAGAGTAATACAACTCCAGTACCAGAAGTGGCTCCTAAAAGTACCTCTCTAGCTTCGTTACCTAGTGAAGAGATACAGCAGAGCCAGGAAGCCGAGGACTCCATATCTAACCAGGAGACTCCGGACAGAATTGACAAAGATCTTCCTGAAGAGCCTTGTGCTGAAAATAAGGCAATGCCAAAGTCTGATATCCTTTCACCCCAAAACCAACCTTTAGGAGAGGCTGAAGCTAATTCTGTTGGAAGTGAGGCAGCAAAGCAACAGAGGAAAGAACTTGCAGGTGGTGATTTCACCTCTCCTGATGCTTCTGCATCCAGTTGTGGAAAAGAAGTACCTGAAGACTCAAATAATTTTGAGAGTTCCCATGTGTATATGCATAGTGACTATAATGTGTATAGGGTGAGATCCAGGTATAATTCTGACTGGGGAGAGACAGGCACTGAGCAGGATGAGGAGGAAGATAGTGATGAGAACAATTACTATCAGCCTGATATGGAATACTCGGAAATCGTTGGATTGCCAGAAGAAGAAGAAATCCCAGCAAATCGGAAAATTAAGTTTAGTAGTGCTCCAATTAAGGTAAGTTTGTTTTCTAAGTTTTTTAGTGTTGTGGCCTAACTATGTAGAATAGATATGACAACTACTAGAAGTTTTTTGTAAGGAATTCAATAGTGTGGATGTGTACACCTGTTGGCAGGTGATTTTAAAAGTTTCGGTTTGGAGAAAGATCACATTTCTTAATGTGCTTTGTAGTGGCATAAACTAGTATTGAGTGATATGAAAGTTGAAGTTTGTGAGGTACATTCCACTGGATTGGAGTATGAACAATAGAAGCACTGAAAATCAGGAGTGTCAGTTTGAAACAGAACTGCTTTAACAAGTGTCACTTAATGTTCCCTCTAAATAATAACCTGAATCTACGCACCGTAAGATATGAGGTATAAGGTACATTGGGTGAGTTATGGTAACCTTGAAATCTCTTTATTTACTTGCTTAAAAATATCTGAGTTATTACTTACTTAAGTGTAAGTGGATTGTGAAGAATGTTGGAACTTTTTTCATTGCTGCGTAGTAGTGAAAATTTGATTTATGGAAGTATATTAGTTGACTGAAATACTTTCATTGAAAAGCTATGACTGTAAACAGATTTGATTTCAGAATTTGTTGTATATCTTTAAAGTGAAATTTTGTGAAAGAAAGCAAAATTGATTTGCCATTCATGGATTTAGTTTTACCTCTTAAAAACTGGAATAAATGCCAGTTGAATTCAGAAGCTGTATTCTAATGACTTCACTCAGTTAATATTTGGTGTAAGAGAATAGCACAAAGTACATCGGTAGCGGGTATTGGAACATTATAACATTATTAGTGGATAATGGCAGTAGGGGCAGGAGGTGGTCGGTTGAGTATCAGAATCCCCTGGAGTGCTTATTCAAAGTGTGCTTGCCCACCAGCTCAGTTCTCAGATTCTGGCATGCTCTCCTTGGGAAATCTGTGGGGTGGTGTGTAGGGGGAGTGTTATGGTGGCAAATGTGTAGTTTGAAACCACTTTTTAGGAGCTCCTAGCTTACATCCTGCGTATATATGACAGATTTGGAGTTTGGTGTCATATATTTAAAAAATTTCTCCTGAAAATCTAGAATCACTGTTATTTCTCTTTATGAACTTCTATATATAGCCATAAGATATAGAATTTACACAGAAATACCCACAGAGAAGTCTGATTGCTTTAGTTATGAAATGCTATTTTGAAATAAAGTCATATTTTATTAAATTATTTTCAGCTGTTGGGAGGCAAATTTTCATTTTAAGAGTGTAAGGCATTAAGTTCTGGATCAGAATAGATCATGTCAACTTAAACTGTTTGAAATAAACTTGAATCGTGAATCTAATTTGAAAGTAAGCTAAGTAGGGTGCTTATCCACCTGCCAGTGTTCTTTTCTTTCCTTCCCATTCCCCACTCTCCTTCCACTTCTAGGCACTGTCCTCAAAGGCATCCTTCCCTAAAGCCTGTCCAGTGAGCACCCAAATTTCATCATTCATGCCTCCTTTGAACATGGTTTTTCTACTCTTTAGGAAGAAAGCAACAGGATTAAATCATTTCACACTGGGCAAAGAAGGAATAACTGAAATAAACTCTTCAAGGAGTTTGTTAAAGCCAGCAAGTGACTTTTTAATAGGGGGATAGCAGTTTATGAACCATTTATTAAGTAGAACATTAGCCACTCAACTCTCTGGGATGCTCACTGTGTATTTGGGTCCTATGCTGCACAAAACATAACTGCATGAAGGTAGATTTTAATTGACTTTAAAGGATTTATCATTGAAATATGTCTGTTCATATCTGGGCAGAAGCCAGCTTTTTGGGTACGATATTTTGAAAGTCAAGTGCTTTTTGCTGCTTTTGCTCATAATAGTGTTTTACCTCTTAATTTTCATGTAATAAATAAATTGGATTTCTGAATAGATGGAATGAAAATAGATTACGTGCATTTAGGTTTAATACATTTCATGAAGAACTTAGATCAAGCTTATGAAGCAAACATAACGCCTTGCGTTTTATCAGGCAGTTAACAGGACTAGTTGGAGTGGATTAAGTTTGCAAACAGAAGATTCATTATTAGCCCTTTTGTAATGAATGAGACAATTACTCTTTCTTGTTTCTGTTGTTTGACATGCAAGTAGATTCACTTGGAAATTTTGAGAACTGCTTTCTGTTGGTGATGATGGTGGCATTTGGTTATTCTCCAATTAAGATTTTTTTTTTGCCTCTGAGGGTGGTAATTCTTAATTAAATTTAACAAGTATTTTGGGAAGGCTTATCATATGTGATCTTTCATGCTGCTAGCTGCAGAAGACAGAAAAATCTATAAGGTTAGCCCTTTGCTCTCTGACCTTATAGAGGCAATTCTTAAACACATTATATTTAAAACCCATATAAAACAGTGTACAAAACTGTGTCAAAATGTCTAATGTCTGGTGTGTTCTTTAGCAATATATGGATATATTAAATGCGAAGAGTGAAAGGGATTTGATAGATTATTTGGAACAGAGTACATTCAGCTACCCCTGTGTGTGTTTCCTTATTCTTTTCATAAAGCTTTCTGGAATGGGAAATTAGGATTTCCAAACAAAATCTTTTCCTTTGAAATTTAAACATACTTTGGAAGCAACAGGGCACACATATTCTTTATAGAAATGATTTTTGAAACTTTTATGTTCTTTTCCTGATATTTTACTCCTTACTCAGTAAAATAGTCCCAATATCTTTAGTGTTTTTATAGTTCTTATTTATGATCTTTGCATGTGTGAATTGTCCTCGGTGTCTAGTTCACTTCTTTTAAAGATATTACCATATTATGTCTTAAATCTGGACCTAGAAAAAGAAAATAATAGCTGATCTTTCCTGGGTAGCATAGTCCCAGTACTTGTTAATGACTTAAAAACAGTCAGATGATATTGTTGGCCAGCAGTTGTATAACTTCCCTCTGTTTCATGGGCACAGTTGTTTCTTATCGTATAAGTTGATGTCATGGAATATTCAAATGGGATTAATAATAGAAAATGTAAAATCCTCCTTCAAGATATGGACGGGAAGGTGTTATGAATCAAATTAGTTTGAGATGTGGAATTATGTTTTCGTTTTCAGGAATTTCTCAGAGACAAGGGATTGAATTAAAGTAAATGTGTCTAGAGGAATCAAGGATAGACAGAGTGACATTTGTCATTACTTTTTCTTTTACTCCAGAACAGTTACTGAGCCCCTCATATGTGCCAGGAACAATGGGATATACTGTAGGCGACTGGAGCCTTCCCAGTTAGGAGTCCCTGCAAGGTGGGAGGAGTGTAACCCATGAACAAGGCTTTTCAGGCTCATCTCAATTCTGCTCTTGGATGACCCTTCTGAGGTCACTGTAGCCTCATGAAGGAAGTCAGAACCCTTTCACTGTTACTGATAGTCTTTATATTGGTATTCTTGAAATATAGCGTTTTCTGAAAAAGTAGATTTTCTTTACTTCCAGGAAGGAAGGGAGTGCAGAGTTAATGTTGCTGTGCATTGTGCTGTACTGGAGTGTTTTCTCAAACTATATAGAGCTTTAGAGACCTAGAGTTCAAAGGAGGACCCACAAGCAAAGCAAGGCTTCTTTAAACCTGCACGATAGCTGTCAAATATGGATCTCTTTGTATTCTCTCCCACTTTGGGGGCTCCCAGTCTCTTCCTGGTATGTGCAGTCTTTTGTTTAAGTTGGTATTCTGAGCATAGTTTTTCGGAGATCCAACTTTTTATCTTTGTGGAGGCTTCTTTTTCTTACAGTTTTGTCAGTGCTTCTTAAATTTTAATATGCATATGAATCACTTGGGGATCTTGTTAAAATGCAGATTCTGTTTCAGTAGGTGTTCTGTGGGAAATTACCTTCATGCAAAGGTTAGCCTCCAAATACAGTACCAGTCAAGCACTCAGAGGTTATTGAATAGAAGCATTCAGCACTCAAATTACAATGCTTGAATCTCTCAATTTATCAAATAAATTTAACGCACAAATCCAGAAACAAGAACAAAATCATGGAGTGAGTTATTAACATACTTAGATAAGGTGCAAAGTTGGTAGGACTCTACTGCCTGCTTCCTGGCTACATAGTGTTCACCTCCTCTGTCTCTCTTTCCCATTCGTCTTTTCTATTGATGGTGTGGTTATGAGGACCAGAGTTAATATTTGGACCAAGATTATACTGATTAATGATGTGGTTCCAGAATGGGACCATACTGAATATCCTTAGTGGATGGCTTGATATGGAGGTGACATCCATCTGAAATAGAAGGCATAATGTCAGTTCAGACATGGCATAATGGTGAATTAGTCTTTTTATCCCTTTCTATTAGTAAACTCTTTTTATCCCCATAGTATCTTTTGAAAAATTTTATTTTTTTAGTTACAAATGGACACAATACTTTTTATTTTGTTTATTTTTATGTGATGCTGAAGATCAAACCCAGTGCCTCACATGTGATAAGCAGTCACTCTACCACTGAACCACGATCCTAGCCCTCCCATAGTATTTTATTCTATTTTTGCAATGTCATTTGGGTTACTAACTTACCTATTTGTAATATATATATTGAATTCTGACTTCATCTCACCAGCTTCCATTCTCAGGTATCTATACTTAACCAAGTCTGTGAGTGTTGTCTTTTCCTCATAAGCTGTAAGCTTGCTTACCATCATTTAAATTGATTACTCCATATGAGTTTCATTTATTGCATTTGTTTCTGTTTTTCTTTTTTCCTTTTATTATTATTATTTTTTTCTGAACCCAGGGCCTTGCCTATGTACTATATAAGTGCTTTACCTCTGAGCTACACCTCCAGGCCCCATTTGTTTTCTTGACAGAATTTAATATCCTCAAGTAATATAGCAAGCTCATGGAACAGTCTGGAGTGGGGCCTGAGATTCTGCATTTCTAACAACCTCTTAAGTGGTACTGATGCTGTTGGTCAACAGACCCTTTTTTGGACCAAGAGTTTGAAGCACAGTCTTCTAGCTTCTGAAAGGGCTGGTTTGGTTTAAAGAAAGACTTTTT